ATTTGTCTAAGATTTGGAGTAAATATTTAAACCTAATCTTAAAGACAGTATAATTCTTCTCATATGTAATCGAGTTGACTCATGAACCTAACGAGTCGAACTATGTATAGTTCAAGTTCAGCTCATTTAGTTAACGAACTTAATTTTTCACTCATACTCAACTCATTTGGTTCATGAACCTAGTTCAACGATTTAATTGTCGAATCGAATTTCGAACTATTTTCGAGTTGGTTCGGTTCATTGCCAGCCCTACGTGAAAGATATATTTCACATTTGGAATAGTTTTTCCTTGTGATTTATTTATCGTAATTGCAAAACTTAGTCGCACAGGAAATTGATTTCTACAAAGTACAAAAGGCAACCCATTACTCCCAGATGTTTTTTATTTTAATTATGGGGAAGAAAGCTCGTATTCCTGCGTTGCTTCCTGTCAAGATTTCCACATCCAACATATTATAAATAAACCATGACATGATAATCGTGTCCCATTACACAATCCATATCTAGGATCTAGATTCCACAACAACATCAATATTGCACTTTTTTTAGTTTTAAAATATGTGGTGGCAAACTACCTTGAGCAATTGAGTTTAAGAATTCATGCTGATAAAAATTATGAGTATCCCTTTCAACCTCATCAAGTGACAACAAACTATGCTCATCTCCTGGAAATTGATCTATAATTATATCATTCAATTTTTGGACATCATCATTTGTTGGTGCCAAAATAGATCTTTGTACCATATAAGGGGCATCCCATCCATGCAAATCTAATTCAGGAAAAATATGTTGGATAAGAACTTGTATGGAGTGTTCACATTCCCATGATATTGCAATTTGTGGAGGTACCCTTACCATATCTTCTGGTTTGGTAGGTTCAACACCATCACCAATACGCATAAGAAATTCTGCAAACTTATGATCATGCATTAATCGCATATTTTGATGCAAATGCAAAATCTTTGTATGAGCCCTTAACTGAGACTTAATAATACATGTCGAAAACATTTGTGCCTTAGTACCTTTTCTCACAACAGGAAGAACTTGACGAAAATATCCCCCCATGATCATAACGTTTCCACCAAACAGAACATTGTTGCTACATATGTCTTACAGTGATCGATCTAAGGCTTCTAAACAATTTTTATTTGTCATTGGGGCTTCATCCCAAATTATTGCAGTTACAAATATAGTTAGATTTGCAAGATATTTTTGCTTTTCAATACCACAAATGGAATTCGATTGTATATTGATAGGTATCTTAAATCGAGAGTGTGCAGTTCTACCACCAGGTAACAATGTTGATGCTATACCAGATGATGCAGTTGCTAAAACAATTTCTCCTCTACTTCTTAAACTTGCTAGTAATGTTCTATAAAGGAACGTTTTTCCCGTTCCTCCTAGACCATCAACAAAAAATACCCCAATGTGCTTACGATGAATGACTTCCATAATAGTTTTGAACTCAATCACCTGGTCATTATTTAACTTCTCAACAACTTCAATATCCTCGTTAGGGATATCGACAACTAACTCCTTTTGCACGACACTTGGTATTGAATCTTCCTCTATTGTATTTGGTGGAAATGATGGGAGATCATAATCTTCGATTTTTTTTACCGTGTTGGTTCAAGAGTTCATTCAAGTCTTTCAACAACATATTAGTCAAGATTGATTACACACCATTGTGTGTTGTTTGATAATCCTCTATTATATGTGAAAAAACTGATTCCAGAGGCTTCTAACATCAATAGGCTCACAAAATATTAGAATTGTCATAAATAACCTTTTTTTAAAGAATATGGCATTCGAAGACTTGTAGCCTCAACCAAACAATCACAAATACTATGATCAGTCTCTAAAAATCCCTTATCCTCAACTGATTTTTTAAATGTATTGAAAATAGTGCCATTATTTGTAAGAAGATATTCCCAACTGGTTGGACCTTTGACATGAGATAACAATATCCGCAAGTAAAACTTCTCTCCTTCCGAAGGCGATACTGTATAGATTCTCCCTATAACTTTTCTTGTTGGCCGTCTGCGATGCCATTCCTTGTCCCTCTTATTCTAACTATAATGCTTTGAAATCTCTCTATACAAATAATTTCATGGTTGTGGATCTCTTTAACTTAATGAAAAGAATTGTGTGAGCATTGTATTGGAGTTGTGTTCATTATGTAACACATATGTAATTCTATGATGGTGGTTTGGCAAGTAGATCTGTAATCTTTCAACTAAAGGATATAATCTATAAAGAGTCAATCGAAATATTTTCCATAATGCCTCAGGAGCACAATTTGTCTTTCTGGCAGTCCTTTATGCAGCAAGGTACATTTGTCACAAGGGATCTTTATTAGGGATGTCAACGGGAAGGGTTTGGATAGGGTACTATAGTACCTGTCCCCATACCCATAATTGGAAAAAATCCCCATACCCAAGCCCATACCCACTTGGGTACCAATATTGGCACCCATACACTATGGTTACGTAAGTGCCCGTACCCGTACCCGTTACCTGCATTTTTGATAAAAATAAATATATCAAGTATAAAATATCATATTATTTTAAGTTTTTAACAACATAAAAAAGTTTTAAAGAAAATTTATGTTGGATTATGAAATAAAAGATCACTTATTATAAATATGTAGTAGTTCAAAATTGATACACATTTATTTTTATATAAAATATAAATTAAAATATCTAAATATATATTGTGCGGGTATGAGGCGGGGTGGGTACCAAGGTGCCCATCCCCACACCCATCCTCGCTAATTTAAGTGGGTAATTACCCGAGCTCGTCCCCATTTTTGTGGGTTTTTATCTTACCCGTTGTGGGTACCCACTAGGGATGGGCCAAATTGCCATCCCTAATCTTTATGTTATGTTGGCTGACAACCAACAAACTGTGACATGGAGGAAATTTTTTTATAACAATCCTACCAAGCCCCAAGCAAAGACAACCCTCTGGGTGGCTTGCCACTATAGATTGGCAACTAAAGAAAGGATTAAGAAATTTTACATGATTAGGGATGATACCTGCTGTTTCTGCAATGAAATTGAAAGCCAAGATCATCTCTTCTTCCAATGTAGAGAAATGGGGACTATTTAGAACAACATCTTAAATTGGATGAATGTGGTGCATAGGCCGGACTGTTGGAATGATGAGCTGACTTGGGTGTTGGAAAAAAACAACTCAAAAAGTCCCACAAAAAGCACTCTTAAATGTGCCTTGACAGAAACTCTGTATGAGTTACGGAGATATAAGAATGAAGCCTGTTTTGGGTCGGACAAGGACCCTAATAGGAATGGCCATAGGATCATGGATACCATTATTAATAGATGTTGCATAAGGGCTAATCTTAGAAAGACCATAGGTAGACTTCTTATGCCTTAGTGGGGTTTTGGTTTTTCTTGTTTTGTAGTATGCTAGCTTTGCTGGATCTCTCTTGAAATTGTCTGTATTGTCGTGTTTTTTGGTTAATAAAGTATTTCTTATCCAAAAAAAAAAGTCGAGGAATCAAAAAACTGGTTTTAAAATGGAAAAACAAATAAAGAGATAAAAAATGCATTTAACCCATCAAATAAATAAAAAGTATTTATAAAAAATATTTTTATTTTTAAAATTTTTTTTATACACAAATATAAATTTATCATAAACCAATTTTATTATTATATTAATCACGAAAATATAGATTATTAACCACATATTTTACTTTTTTTTAATAAGTAAAGAAATCGATTAAACACTACGAGAATAAGGGATACTCGAAACTCTTACAAAGACAAAGAACACCAAGAGTTAATAATGCAAAACACCAAAAGTTAATAATGCAAAACAAAAGATAGGAACTCCAATAAGAGAAACTAAACGAAGAAAGACGAAAATTGACTAAACAAAACCATTCTCAAGATAACATTTTATTTTTCATCCAACACTCTTCAAAGATAGAACTTGTCCCTTTGAAGATGATTCCATTGCGATATGTCCAAATTATCACGAAGCAGCCATCCAAATGAAACTAACCATCCTTTGCACCTCCTCCACCAATGATGAGTTTACCGTAAAAGGAAATTCAGCTAATTCTTCCCATTTCAAATTGATGCTCTTCCCAAACCAACCAATAATTGCAGTCCAAATTCTCCTACCGAAAGTGCAACTGCCAAAGACGTGAGATTTTGTCTCGTCCTTCTTAAAACACTGAACACAACACCTGTCTCTGTCGTGAACCAAAATATTCCTTTTTAATAATTGATCTCCCGTAAAAAGACGATTAAGATCCAACGCCAACCAAATATAATATATATTCGAGGGAGCCTTAATGTTCCACAACACCTTCAAAGTGTATCTCTCCCTCGGCAAAATACTAATGGATTTTTCTAGGCAAATATTTTAGTTATGATTCATTAACCAAATTTACTATTTCGTTAACCAATAAATTATATAATATTAACTAAATTCTGACATTAAAATATGAAATATAATAACCCGTCTTTACTCTTTAGACTCTATTAACCAATCTTATTTACTATATTTTATAATTTAATATCAAAATTTATTAATAAAATGTAAAGACTGATTATTATATTTTGTTATTTAATTTTAGAATTTAGTTAATGTTAGATATTTTATTGATTAATAAAATAGTAAATTTGATTAATGAATTATAAGTAAAATATACTTTTGTGATTAATATCAAACTTTGTATTTGTATTATAAAAATAATTAATTTTTTTTTATTTACTTATAAAAAACCCTGTTTATCTTTTAAATATGATGAACAATACTTGATGTAAATATTTTAAGAAATCTTGATGTAAATATTTCAAGAAGTGGTGTAAGAATAATTTGCTTTATAATTACAACAAACTCACTTTTTTTTTTCTTTTTCTTTTAATACAACCTCTTTACAAATTTCAAACACATTAAATAACTTCCTTTATAAATTTATTACTACAATCACTTTTGTTAAAACCGTTAAATTTGTATAGGATTTCAACCTATGCGTATTTTTCAACAATATCAAGAAGACACACACGAAGTTCTTGAGGTTTGGAAAGCATAGCCATATGATCAGCTCCATTAATCACATTCACAACATCAATCCCAGCATTTTGTATCATCCATTGTTGAAACTCCACCGGAATCGCCAAGTCCTCATTTGCAACAACATAAACACGATGAACAGATTCATATCCTTTTTTTGAGAAATTCTTTGCCTCACTCAAATCCTCAATAAAAAATGACCCTACCCTTTTTAAAAGCTTCAACAATTCCAAGTCCTGTAAAATCCATAAAGTTTTTTTATTTATTTTTTTAAATATGTTTTGCAAGCAATAATCTATGTAAGAAATAGAAAAGATAGCTGTTACATGTAAAAGTACCTCAATGGAGCAAAGTTGAAAGAATTTAGTGGACAAGAAGTTGATGCCAGGAAGTATCACCATTTTGGTTCCATCAAATAAAACCTCACTGTCTAACCATCCAGAAGCTGGGTATCTTTCAATATACTACCCATGTTCACCATATAATTAACCAAGTTATCAATCAAGTTTAGACAAATTAAACAACAATAATTTTAATAATTAATATCTCTATATTAAATCTTTACCTCTTGTATTACATATGATGGTTGATGTATGGTATCAGGAATAAAAGCTGCTATGAAAATTCCAACTGCTATTTTTTCTGGGAATTTTTCCATTGCAAGAGCTGTACTCATTCCACCAAAGCTATGTCCTACAAGAATCACTTTTTCATTTGGATCAAGTGAGGCTAAGAACTCTAACAAAGGCTTAGAATAGTCTGCAAAAGTATGAACATCTTCTATTTTGTGTGTGTTGGTGCCACAAGCTGCAAGATTAAGTGCTGTGACTTTGTGACCGATAGATTCTAATTGTGGTATCAGCTTGTACCAATTCCAAGCTCCCATGCAAACACCGTGAACAAGAACAAAATGCTTTTGTTGTTTTTGATTCATATTGCATTCAGCCTTTTTTGTTTAGCTACAAACTTGAAATGTCTAGCTTAATAAATATATAGAGATGTACTAAAATTTAGTTGGTTCAACGGTAATTGACGCTGAATGTAATAAAAAATGACTATGATTCAATTTTTTGTAATTGCGATTGAAAGGTGACTAAAACCATTTGATGTCAGAATTCACTCCGAACCAGATTAATCGGTTCAGTGAACCGGATAAAAATAGCAAGGTGGTTTATAGATGATATTCTACTTCATAAAAAACATGGCACCCTAAACATTCTACTCCATTAAAATATGTACTCAACTTGGTTTGAAATTTTCTATGTAGGAAACGTATCCATTAAAGAAATGATGTTTACTATTATTAGGGATTTCCCTAAACCTTGATTTAGCATCTCAACCTAACTATGTCTACTTATGAAAAAGATAGAAATAAGTAAAGAAAATTGATAAAAAAATGACTAACATAAAATTGGAAGTCAATTTGACAGCGTACGTTCGCATTGCTAGTGGCTTTGGAAACCCTTAAATTAATATTATTGGTTGATTTTGAATTATCCGATTTGAGTTTTAAATTTGGATTTAAGCTTATTGAAAGATCTTCATCATAAATTAATTTCACGTGGCCATTAATAATCCATTTCAAATTCAAAATGATATTTGATTGACTATACTCTATTATTAAATTCTTTTATTTGATTGGCACAAGCAACAAATAAATAGGGACATGCAAGTTTCAAAACAATGCAGACTCTTTACATGTACCGGTAGGAATAGGAATAAGTGAGGCACATCGAAATAATCCTATAGACTCAATTCTTAAGAAAACTTTAGGACCGTGAAAAGATCATCTTAAAAGGAAGAATAGAAGGTGCATTTTATTTAAAGTGGATTTCGCACAAACGTATGATAGTGTAGAGTGAGATTTTTTGAAAAATGTTTGAAGACGATGAATTTTGGAGTAAAATGGCGTAATTGAATTAGAGGAGGTGTGTGCAATAACTTTCTTTCCGTGTTGGTAAATGGAAGCACTACGGAGGATTTCAAATGCTTTAGGGGCCTAAGATAAGAGGATCTTTTGTCACCATTTTTGTTCATTTTAGTGGTGTAGGCTCTTGTGTTATTGGTTAGAAGGGCGATAATCAAGAATGTCTGCAACGGTTTTCAATTGAATGGAGGCGATTCACTAAGCCTAATTCAATTTGCGGACGAAACTATTTTAGTTTGCGATGACGATTGGAAAAATATGTGGGGAATCAAAACAATTTTTAGGGGATTCAAATTGGTCTCAGGCTTGAAAACGAACTTTTCGAAGAGTTGCCTCTATGGAGTGGGGGTGATGACTCGCTATTGGATGCAACTGCACAATTCCTTGCGTGTAATACATGTAGAATCCCTTTTAAGTTTCTTGGTTTAGTGGTTGGTGGAAACCATAGGAGGTTTAAGTTTTGGAGACCGGTAATCGATTGTTTCAAGGCAAAACTCTCTATTTGAAGAGGTAAACAATTATCTATAGGTGATAGAGTTACATTAATAAATTTAGTGCTCATGAACCTTCTGATTCATCACCTCTCGTTCTACAAAGCCCCTTCAAAAGTGGTAAAGGAATTGATTGCCATTCAAAGATATTTTCTTTTGTCTAGTTCGGCTGAACATTCGAGTATAGCTTGGGTAAGTTGGTCCTTAATGTGCAAGTCAAAGAAGCATGGTGGATTAGGAATCAAGGATATAAATTTGTTCAACACAACTTTGCTTTCAAAATGGGTGTGGAGATTAATCCATGATCATCACACCATTTGGAAGTCCCTATTGGAATATAAGTATGACATACTTGTATGCATAATTTTTTCCATTTCGGATATTGACAGGTGCAGCAATAAGTTACAGTCATTATGGTGGAGGGACATTTTGCGCATCGCAAAATCGAAGGAAGATGATGGCTTTATGAAGCAAATAATGTGCAAGATGGGTGACGGCGAAATAATTTCATTTTGGCATGCCCGTTAGTTTGAAGGAACGAACTTGTGAACGAGATATCTGAATCTGTATGTTGCTTATTCTTACAAATATAGAGCTGTTAGCAAATCGGGAAGTTGGGTGGACAACAATTAGCAATGGAATATGGGTTTTTTTTGAGTATAAGGCATGAAGGTGTTGTAAAGGACCAATTAGAGGATTTGAATTTGTTGCTGTCAGAGGTGGTTCCATTCTTTGGAACTGATGATGCTTTTTCGTGGCCAAAATCACAAAACAATTGTTTTGATGTTAAGTCGTGTTACAATTGCTATAGTCTGGTGGGTTGGATGAATTAGACATTGCTTCTAAGACTGCATTAGAGATCTTTTGGCAATCGTCGATCCCGTTAAAAATGAAGATCTTTGGTTGGAGGTTAATATTGGATAGACTTCTGACTAGATCAAACTTGGCAGCCAGAGGAGTAATATCTAATCCTCACGAGTTGGTATGCATTTTTTTCATCATATAGAATCTTTGGAACATGTATTCTTTTCTTGTCCAAAAATTATGTTGGTTTGGAGAGAAATATTTGAATGGGCTGGGATGGAGTGGGGGGCGACGGATAGTTGTTGCCAACATATGCTACAATGGTTTGTGTAGGTTATTGGTATTTCATCGAAGAAGACGTCTTGCTTAATTTGGTTTTGTACATGTTGGTGTATTTGAGAGCATAGAAACCAAACAATTTTTAATGACGATTTTGGGTGTGTGGAGGAAATTGTACACAAAATTATTTTCATGTCTTGGGATTAGCTAGCCATTAGTTCTTATCCTAGAATTAGGTGTAATTTCTACAAATTGTCTAAACGGCCTTTTGATTTATTGTAAAACGTTTCATATAACTTCGTATTGGCGGTGTAATTGACTTTTTGGTGCGGAATGAAGGCAAAAAAATACACAAGAATGAGGGGTTGAACTGTGTTCACAAAATTAGTTTTACTTATGAACTAGAGTTTAGATTCCAAAATTGAGTTCAGAATCTAATAGTATGTGCAATGGAAAATGTAACAAAAATAAATTAAAAACAGTAAAGAACACCCAACAATTATCCTAGTTCCTCTCCCAATTGAGAGTACTCCAGTCCTTTGTTTTGCAAGAGATTTTCCACTATAATCAACCTGATTACACTTGCTTATATACACTTGTATATGACTTTTCTTACTCAGACCTCCAATCTACGACTTTCCTGCTCAATCAGCACCTGATCAAGACTTCCTGCTTAGATCCTCGGATCCTAAAACTCCCCTTGCTCAAATCACCTGATTCAAGACTCTCCTGCTTAGACACACTTCCTAAGACATCCCTTGCTCAAATCTTCGATCCAAAACTTCCCTGCTCAAACTCACTGTCTAAGACTTATCTGCTCAAGCCTACAACAAGAGACTTTTAACTAAACTGAGTGTTTAGAGAAAGAATAACTTACAAAAACACTTGATTAACAATCAGAGGTGTTCAAATATAATACAACATACTTTTACAAAGTATTCTTAAGCTATAAAAGAATAAGAACTCTTAACATATTTTGCTTCTGATATGCAGTGCGTTTATTTCTCAGTTGTACCTGCAACGTTATTTCTTGAGTTGATCTTCAAATCTTATGCTCATTTTATAGCTGAAGAAATATAGTCATTGAAACATCCACGACAACTATAATCAGATCAAATCTTCTAGCATATCTTCTTTTCCAATGAAACAGGTGTTGGAACTTCCAGTCAGGGAAATACCCACATAACAAGGCCATTATCCAGAGGACACACACACACACACACACACACACACACACACATATATATATATATATATATATATATATATATGATACAAGTACAACACAATCTATTGAAGATAATGTCAATATATCTTGAGTCCTGTGTTAGCAGAACTGAGTTGACACTACTTATTCTCGATGCAACCATAACATGTTTCTGATTTTGGAGTGTACTAGCAGCTGCTTTGTGATCAAACTTTTTCTCAAGTGTATGATTAGAACCGAACCAAAGCTACTTCTGTGTCAGAACCAATTTCATCAACTAAATGTAATTTTGCACACACGAACTAGCTAGTTAGAAATTCTAATTGTTTTTCAAATACTTTGTCATCATCAAAGCCTTATGGGATACATGGTATGAACTAAACTTGTCTCAACAATCTCCCCCTTTTTGATGATGGAAAATTTAAGTATTAAAAATAATCAGTATTATATTAATTACTCAACAACTTTCAGAGCCTGAGGTTTGTAAGCTCCCCCTGTGTCAAACAGTCTTAGAGGTGAGGTTTGTAAGCTCCCCCTGAGTCCTATTTGTGAAGTCTAAGAGGTGAGGTTTGTAAGCCCCCTTATATAGAACAATGAATCCACTCCAAGGGCGAGGTTTGTAATCTCCCCCTAAATAGGATCACCAACCTCATCCGGATCCAAAATTATTCTAGAAGAATACTTAATTCATTCTCCCCCTTTATCATCAATCAAAAAGGCAGAAAAGAAAGGCATTTAGCGATTAACAATGATTTCTGAACAATTCATAGCTAAACACCAATAAAAAATGATTCCAAGTCCCATGCAAACACCATGAACAAGAACAAAATGTTTTTGTTGTTTTTGGTTCGTATTGCATTCAGCAACTTTTTTATTATCTACAAACTTGAAATGTCTAGCTTAATAAATGTAGAAAGATGAATCAAACGTTAATTAGTTCAGTGGTGATTAACACTGAATTTGATAAAAAAAGGATTATGATTCAATTTTTCGTAACTACGATTGAAAGGTGGCTAAATTACTTGATGTAAGAACTCATTCTAAATCAGATTAGTCACTCTAGTATATCTGATAAAAATATATAGATATGTTAAATTTTAGTTTGGTAGTACTCTTTTTTAGCCTGGTCATTTATAGTTGATATTCTACTTAATAAAAAACATGACACCCTAAACGTTTTATTTATCCATTAAAATATTTACTCAAGTGTGGTTTGAAATTTTCTA